GAATTTGGGTTCTGTGTCTACCTGAGATATGCTGGCCAAGACTCTTCTGTCTCTATCAGAGGTCTCTCCAGGTTGCATTTCCCCATCCCCCAGGTACCTGTCCTGCTGCAAATGAACTTAGTTCTGTATCTGGGAGAATCCCCATGATGCCAGGGGTCCCCAAATGAGTTCACCTTTAGAAAATCCTTCCTCCAGCCAACCCATTCACAATCCTTAGACCCACTAGTTTTTGAGTCTCTGTTTTTGCATTTTTGGGATTATTTTCCACTTTGATTTTATCAAAAATAGCACACCTCTTCCCCACCCCCTCACCCAGCCAGTTCTGGGGGTTGCATGGGTTCTCTAGGATATGGCGCTGTGTATTTTCAATGGTGAGAACATTCTGCAATATAAGCGTTTCCAGAAGGAGAGTCTTGGTCTCAGTGTAATTCCACATTCAGAGGATGAGGTGTGGTTGGTGTGCGCCCGCCCCCCCATTAGTTTTGCCTGTGCATGGAAGATCTTAAATGAGGTGATAGTTTCTGGATTCTGGGGAATAGTGTGCTGCTGGGGTGTGTGGTTGAGGAACAGAGAGGTTGGGTGCCTGTGATCGTGTTTCTGCCAGCTCATGGGCCAGGTTCCTTGAGTGGATGGGCTGAGGGAAGGCTGTAGGGATAAGAACTTGAATCAGATAGTATGGATGCTCAGCAGCCATGGTTATGCATAAGGGACACATATAAAGACTGAGGCTGTGGATACTGTTGAGCCCAGCTGTTCCAGATCCCCCAAATACTGAGTGTCCTGTCCTCAGGAACTGGCATTCTAGTGGAGGACAGTCCACAGAGAATGGACCAGGATACCTGTGACAGGTGACAGCAGCTGTAGGGGAAGGTGAAACCAGCGTTGGTCAGTGGGGTCTTCACTGAGGAAGTCTGGAAAGGAGGGTCAGGTTCCAGGTGGGAGCCTGCAGGGAGCCTGCCCTGTGCATTTGCGAGCTGTAGGGAGGTCGCTGTGGCTGGTTTTATCAGCAAAAATCAAAAAGTGGTAAAAAAAAATGAAATAAGAAGTTATTGTACATCTCATTCTGAGCCAGACTGGAAATACAACTAAATCAAAGTACATCCACCTGGTATTAACAAATTGGATGCAGTATATTTTACAACACGGAAGCGCAGAGGACACCAGAAGAACGGCAAGAACTAGGAAGTAGGCTTCAGAGTGACGGCTGCCAGGGGCCAAGAGGGTGAGGAGAAGCCTGTGTTGCCCCAAAGCTGTGTCCCTTCACGATTTGGGTAACACCCAACTGTGTAAGGAAAAGCCACAGGGTAGTTGGCTGCCAGGGAAACTGGACCAAAGGCAAAAGTCCCGAAAGGCTGCCCCATGAAAAGCTTCCCAAACAGCATGGTGCTGGGGAGAGACCAAAGAGCAGATTCATTGTTTTGGTTTTGCTTTGTCTTTGCTTTTATTCTCTAAATGCAGAACACAGGACTTTTCTATTGCAAACACTCCCTCAGGGCTTTGGAGCAAGGAGAGAGGCACAGACTTGAGGTGCCTGAGGAGAAGCTGGGGAGTGAAGCAGGGTGGGGAGAGGTGGCCAGAAGTCCGTCATTGCGACATTCTTAACCTTCCAAACCTAAGCAGCCATTTCTCTCCTGGGTTCTATCCTTCCTTCCTCTGCTCCATAGTTTCATTCATTCCCTGGATATAAACTGTGTGGCCACACTCACCAAGTGCTGCACAAAATATGTCCCTAAATGTGGGTGCTGCCTGAAATCCCTATTTAGCTCATTGTGCATTTTCTCCCTTCCATCTGCATGCACACACACACACACACACACACTTTTAAATAACGTTGATTTTTATTTTTTAAATTTTTTTTTATTGATTTCAGAGAGGAAGAGATAGAAACATCAATGATTGGCTGCCTCCTGCACGCCCCCTACTGGGGATGGAGCCCGCAACCTGGGCACAGCCTCTGCTGGGTCATTCCAGCACCAGCACAGTGGTTGGTTGGCAGCACTGCTTTCCATAGTGCTTAGGAAGCTGGGCCCAAGGACAAGGTCGGAGGTGCAGGGCGTGCTTTTGGTTGTCTGCAAACTGAGATGCGCCTGGCTTTGTGATGGCTGTGGGTGGGGAGATGGGCACCACTCATCCGTGCTTATGGTCACTCACAGGCAACAGTGCTGCCCTCTGGAGCAATTGGGTAAGGGATGCTCCAAGAGGCGCCTATGGGGGAGCAAACAGACCCAGGGATCCGTCTTGGGAGGAAGAGGCCCATGGGCTGCGGGGTGGTTCCTTCTGTCCCCAGGCGGTTCTCTGGGCGTCATCTGCCTGGAGTCCGGTTACTGCGTCATTGTCTGATCAGTATCGCACTCGCTTCCCTGGAGCGCTGAGCCCACTGTCACCTGCATTGAGAGCAACCATCTCCAGGCCTTGCTGGTGTGGCTCAGTGGATAGTGTCAGCCCCTAGACTAAAAGATCCAGGGTTCGATTCCCGTGAAGGGCATGTACCTAGTTGCAGGTTCCCCAGCCCTAGTTCGGGTGTGTGCCGGAGGCAACCAATCAATGTGATTCTCTGACATCCATGTTTCTCTCAGTTTCCTCCCTTCCCTTCCACTCTCTCTAAAAATCAATGGGAAAATATCCTCAGTTGAGGATGAACCGAAAAAAGAATAATTATTTCCAAGGAGCCATCAATAGCCCATTCAGTCCAACGGATAAGTAACCAGATGGAAGACCCAGCTCCTTCGGTGTGTCGCTGACAGTGTCATTTTGCACAGGGACTAGAAGTCTCCAGTCCATGGCCGAGGCCAGCCATGGAGGGGCCTGGAGCAACCTGGTTGAGCCCCATGTCCAAGCCGAACCCAGCAGGTCAGCATCTTGGAGGCATCTGACCTCCAAAGGCCCTGAGGGCTCCCAAGACCTACCACCCACTCCACAAAGAAACACCTTCCCCTCCAGCCTCCACCTCAAACAAAGAACTCCTCTTTCTGGGCCCTCAGCATATCTGTTGGTATGGCCAAAGGCCCCCTGCTCCCTGGCGCCCACCCCTGGTGTCCTGTTTTCTCCAGGACAGAAGTCACCCAGCCTCTCCTTTGCCTTAGCTCCCAGCTGCTTTATCCCTAACTTCATCCAAGTGAGGATTGGGCTGGGAACACACACCCCCATTCCTCAATGTCCCCACATTCCCTTAGAGGGGGTGGACAGGAGCATTCTTCCTCTGAGATGGGAGAAAATGGATCAATCGAGCCAAGGGGATGAAGGCAGCTACCCTGAGCGTGAATCAATATGGCTTGGCTGAGTGCTGTGCGCCTGACTGGGTGACTAGCCACCCTCTCCCCAAAAGGGTAGCTGGGTCAGGACTGGGGCACAGGCCCCCTTGTCCTGGGCAGGACTGCTTGGAACCAGTCCATGTGTGTTTTTTCTCTGTGTCCAAGAGTTGTTTAAATAGCACAGATTTGAAGAAACTTTCCCTAAACCAATCTCTCTACCCTTTGGGATGGGGATAATTCTTTATATATTACTTATCTAAGAGTATAGGATTGGTGCACAAAATTCATACACTTGGGGGAAGGGGTCACTAAGCCCGAATTTCAAGAGCCAGGCCAAGCCAAGGGCCCCACCTGCACATAATCGGGGCCAGGGAGGGACCACAGGTACATATATGTTTACCCAAGTTATAGCCTCTTGTTGTATGGATCCCTGTAGTATTAGGAAGTGGCCTTTTTTATCTCTTGTTATGGTCTGTTTTTTGAGGTCTGTTTTATCAGATATAAGTATTGCTACCCAAGCTTTATTTTTCATTTCCATTTGCCTGAAAAAAAAATTTTTTTTTTACCCTCCCTTCACTTTCAGTCTGTGTGAGTCCTTTTTCTGAGGTAGGTCTCTTGTAGACAAGCAGATATATTGTTCAGGTTCTCTTATCCATTCAGCTACCCTATATCTTTTGATTGGAGCATTTAATCCATTTATGTTTAAGGTTATTATTGTACTTGCTTTTTGCCACCAGAGAAAAGATCATTAGGAAAGAGAAAAGAGAGCAAGAATGATAGCGAGGAATAAAAGAAAGAAAAAAGGAA